TTTCATTTTCTCTCCGTGACACTTTCTCCCCTGACTTTAGTCCCTACGCAGCCAGACCCCCGTGAACCGATCCCCTTGGGGCTGCTCTTCGCTGGCAGCTCCGCTCAGGGACTGAAATATTTGGGGCGAGGGGTGACAGCACCCAGAATGGCTCAGATGGGCCTCCCAGCATCCTGTCCCCCTCTCTGACAGCAGTAATAACACAGAGCTGATGATGCACTGCCAGCTTTATACCCTCCATCCCACAGGATGGAGATAAGGAAACATCAATTTAAAGGCCTAAACACGGCGTAGCCATCCCTATTCTGTCAGGAGTGGATCTCCAGCTCTGGTCAGTGTGATGGGTTGGACTTGGCTTGCACCAGGCGCCCGCCGCAGCTCAACACCCCCAGCAGGGTGAAGAGAAGAGGAAGAACGAGAGGGAGAAAACTCACGGGTCAAAATAAAGACCCATGAGGGAAATCCCTCATCAATTGCTCCTGTGGGCAAAACAGAGTTAGCTTGGGGAATTTAACTTCAAGCACTTAACTACGAATTTCGGTATTGGGAACCAAAGGTGACAAATGTGTAAACACTTTGGAAAATGTGTTTACACTCCCCTTTTCCCACAATCAGCTTCACTCCAGCACCTCCTCTCCTGCTTTCCTGGTCTCCTCTGCCTTGTTATCACAGTGAGTTACACCCGTCCCTTGGTGAGGAGGGGGCAGCCGGGGGGGATGGAGTCAGGACAGAGCAGTTTCTCTCTGCTGCTCCTTGTTGCCCAGGTGGTTCCTCTGCTCTGGCAGAAAAAACAAACCTGATGCTAGTGTGCTATGTCTATTTTACTTGAATTTAGCATAGACTTTGACAGCAAATGCATATTTCTGCTTTCTGGACTGATAGAGACCGTGTAACTGATGACTTTACAAACTGTATGTACTCGGTTGTCTTCACTGCCTGTTCTTCTCCTGTCTTTACCCTCTCGGCTTTTTCATTTCTAAGCCATTAGGATTTAGCTGATAACCTTTCACTTTCAGTCAGGTCCTCCTTGAGGCAGCAAGCGTATCGCCAGGCAGCAGAGCCCCCCAAAAAATCAACACTAGGTGATAGCACTACCGCCTGCATCCTGGCATGGCTTGGTCGTGACCTTGATAAGTACCATCAAAAACAAGCGGGCTTAAGTGATTTTGCAGGTTGAAGCAGCCCACAGATGGTAAAGCGATAAGGCCTGGCTGCTGAGGAGAGAAGCAAACCTCACCTGTTTCTTACATTAGCAGCCCGTGAAGTCTTGTGCAAATATTATATACCTACCATCCTGGCAGCAGGTGAATATTTGTAGGTCCTGAGGGACTAATCTAGCATTACTACGAAATCCTGCCGTGAAACACAGCAAAAGCATCATTTGACAAACAAAAGTTTGAAAAAAGCTAGACGCGTTGGCCTTTAAGATGCCTGTAAGATAAATAACTTGCCTTTTTACAGAAGAAGTGTCAGCTGTTTCTTAGAAAGCTAAAGAGTCTCTGAAGAGAGCTTGTAGCAGTTCCTTGCCACAGACCAGCCCATCGTTGCAGATTTGGAACAGCAGAAGGATTTTCAGGCTCTTCAGTTATTGCTGGGTGCAGCGAGGATGATGATGAGTGGGTTAAGTACTAAGCACAGCAATTTTGGTTGCTCTGTAGCTAATGAAACTAATGTTGGTTTTTTTCCTGCTTGGTTAAAAAAAAAAACAAACCAACAACCCCAAGCAGGTATTTGGGTTATTAATGTGCTCGGAGTAACAGGCAACACGTAGGAGTCTAATAACCTTACTAGTCTTGCTTTCCCCTATGCCTTGTTTAAGCTAAACTTTGACTCAGCATAACTTACAGTATCGTAAAATAAATGTTAAAGCCAGAGGAAGAAGTAGATTTCAGCTCTCTTACCATAAAACACTGCACTGTTACGGTGAGGACAAACCACCTTCTTGTCTCAGTGCTCCCAAGCATGTCACTTGACAAGAAAAGCTCAGGATCCCCTCTTCCACCGGTCATCTCTGTGATTTTGGGAACTCTGGCTCATCTCACTGGCCTTGAAATGTCTTAGCGTTGACAGTAGTAAGTGCCTGACTGCTTTTGACACAGTTAATGACACACAGCCTCTTACCCAGAAGACAAAATAAGTCACTGGACTGTACAAGGTAGATGAAACACCCTCTGGAACGATGGCTGACAAATATTAAAGCCAGTCTCAGTTACGTGTTTTTTCTCCACCCCTTTCAATTGCAACCATACCACTTGCATTAATTCTTACCCGGTGAAACGATTTATTTACTATTTTAACCCCAAGATTACCTGGCAATTTTACTTTTAGGATAACTGGTTGTGGAACGCAGCGCTATAAAAACCAGAAGGGAAGTGTAGGTGTCCACTGCAGTGGGACTTTGGTGCTATTTTGCGTCTTCAAAGCGCTCTACGGGTGTATGAAAAGGTGGATTCCTCATTAAGGCTTCATCAGAACCCCAAGTTAACTGCACGACATTTAATTAGCCTGGTTTCTTTCAGGTATTTGTACAGCTGCAAAGAAATCGTATTGCGAAGGAATACAGCTGGAAGTCTTGGCTTCAGCATCGTCGGAGGTTACGAAGAACATACAGGGAACAAACCATTCTTCATCAAATCCGTTGTTGCGGGAACACCAGCTTATAATGACGGCAGAATTAGGTAACGATAACTATCTAATGAAAAGTGGCATTTAAGTAAGTCTTCCATCTAGTTAATTTCTGTTTTTTTTGTTGTTGGTTGTCTTTTTTTTAAAAACAAGTTTTCATGAAGACTTTTCATGAAGTGTTGGGGGAAAAAGGACTCACTGGTAGAGAACTAACTCCAACAGATCTGGCAATAGAACATAAATGTCCTGAACTTTAATAGATTTTACTTCATAGTAGAGTATTTTCAGATGTGTAGCAATCACTAGTATATGAGTAAGTGTAAAGATAAGTCAGTTTGATGGCTGGGGTAGTACCTGACAGCACAGAGCACCTTTCCCACATCCCCAGCTCAAAAAAAGCCCCAACCAACCACCTTCCCTGCAAACACCAATATGGTTTCAGCCAATAAGTGCAGAATTACAGAGCAAACTTAAATCAATTTAGAAGTCTTAAAACAGAGTTTGTTTGACCATTCCCATCTGGGAGAACTAGATCCTATTTTCTTTCAAATATGTCTAATATGAAAAAACAAACCACAAAACAACAAACAAACCAGCCCAAGTGACCTATTTTCACCTGCTTTGCTCCCTTACTCATGAACTGTAGTTATCCAGAGAAGGAACAGTAACACTCATTTCTACTCCTTTTTCCCAGCTTAAGGACACGCTTTGGCATTATCAAACGTTTAAGATAAGACTTCACCTCGTTTAATCATTCTCTCACCTTTGTTTTTTTTTCAGATGTGGTGACATCCTCCTTGCTGTCAATGGCAGGACCACATCAGGCATGATGCACACCTGCTTGGCGAGGATGCTCAAAGAACTGAAAGGAAAAATCACTCTCACCATCGTGTCCTGGCCTGGGACTTTTTTATAAAAACACGGAGAGTGTAACAAGTAATTTAAAACAGAAAAAAAAAAAAAAGAAAAAGGAACATCGGTCTTCGCTTTTTTTTGGAGGGTCAAGTACGTGTTTATAAAGAAAAGGTTTGTGAAATTTCAATCTGCATGTCAAGAAAAGTCAAGTGTAGGCAAAGCAAGGACACCTGTCAGAAAATCACTCCAGAGTGATTTAAGGTACAGACTTAAATCTTTCCTTCCCCATGTTCTTAAGGCTTTTTTGTTGTCTTTTTTTTTATATATATGTATATATATTTAATGCATTATAACAATAATGAAATTTAAGGAGCAGCAGTTCCTACTCACCCACTTTATTTTAATTTACAAAAAGAAGTCCTTGAATAACTTATGGAAAAATCTCCTGCAATTTTTCTAGTTGCAAAAAAAATCAGGTGAAGGTTTTTATCCAACACAATAATAGCACTTTGATTATGTGTATTTTTCATGGTCAGCATGAAGCTGGTATTTTCAAGACTTTCAAGTACTGTTTGTTAGTCTGTAAAACTGTGAATTAAATTTCTAAAATAATTAAAAATAACTGTAACTGTGTACTTGTACAGACATTATTTTCACCCAAAACCAAACGACCTCGCTTCCCTGGTATGTTTTGATTAATATTATTAAGCTAGGATTTTTATATAGAGAATTATTCTTTCTAAGGAAGTACACTGCACCCTGCTAATACCATCATCACTCTTCTAACTAGCACCCTGAGAGGGCAGTACAACGTTTGCAGGACTGCCAGGCCAATTGTACTTCATACTGTTCTGGAGGGAGTAAATCTGAAAGTGATGATGGTCTTACATTTTCCTTAAAATAGTTGTTTGCCTTTCTCTGCAAATTACCCATGTTCCAAAGTCTTATTTTTTCCTCAGAAGCTGGCAATGGGAAGAGGATACGCTCGTTAATCTTTATCATGTTAAGGACAGCTGTTCCCCTAGAACAAAGACTAAAATGAACTTTCTCTTAAGCCACAGAAAAGCAGCAAGGATGATTATCCAGCTTATCTCACCCCTATGCACCCACACAAACCAGACATAATTACCAAGTGTACAATCACCGCACTCAGCGCTCCACCAGACTAAGAACAATCAGCACCTTTCCCAGTTTTCCTAATTTTTTTTTTCATTTTACCTTAGTACGAGGTTCTTGAAGAGTCTGCAGTTCCAGCCTGTCCCTGTAGTAAAGGATGACCTTTTCAAATACGAACTCCAAAAGCTGTACTAAACACACACTCTTCCAGATGTTGGTATATAATAAAGTGAATGCACATTGTTTCTAAAGTCAGTAAAACAATGACCTTCCCACTGGCTTATGAAAAAAGGAGACAATTTAATACAAAGAATTTAAGCCCTACGTATACTGTAAGCGCATAAGCCTCTAGCTGTAAGATGGTTTCTCACTGTTTCTTAAAAGACAAAGTCAGTCCAGGAATCTTAACATGAAAAATTCTTCTTTTATTTTCAAAAAAAACCAAAGTAACCTTTGATTTCAAACTAACAGAACAAGATTAAGAGCAAATTATTTTAATACCCAGAAAAATAACAAGATTTATAGTAATCTATTTCTGGCACTAATATATATGCAAGTAGGCAAAAAAAATCACACAAGCCTATTCCACAGGGGCAGCTTCAGTGTTTTCCTGTTCAGGAGCAGGTTCGCCGCTGGCTTCTTTTCCTTCTTTGCTTCTTTTGGATTTTTTGTGTTTGTGCCTTCTGTGGCTGTCTCCTTCTTCGCTGTCGTGACGACGTCTGCTGTTACTAAATAAAGAGAGAGAGAAAAAAAAAATACCTCAAACAATTGCATGACACTTCAGGCCCCATATAATTACAGAGTACCAAAAAACCAAACTTTGCATTCATGTTTGAAAACTGGCACCTGCTTCTGTTCCAACCCATGTAGTACTTGGATGTTAGCACCAAAATGAATTTTTCATTTAATGGTATATACATCTACCCATCCTGGACTTTTTGTTGGGAAACTGGAATGATTTTTCACATTTGTAACCCATATTCTAATAGCAATACTTTTCATAATGTCACATCCCTATGGGCATCCCTTAATGCTTTAACATTCTTATTGACCCCGTTCCCTAGACTTAACCTTTATTTCTAACTTAAAAAACAATCAAGTTGAACAATTTCTATCAAGTGACCACGAGAGTTATTTCACTTTCTAAGAATGGCTGTTGAGTTCTTACGTTAATGCTGCTAAATGTCAGCTTCACTTCTTTCTGACCTACCATTTTTATCCTTCTCTCCCCAAATCCATAATTTCTGTTCACTAGCTAAGACTGTCACATACATTATCCAGTATGAACTTACCTGGGGCCAACATCACTTTTTGTCTGACCACATTTTATATGGCAGACTTGTTCCAAGTAGTACATCTAAGTGTTTACAGTCTTTCCACAAAACTCCAGTTTGTTTGGGGTTCTTTCAAGAATTTACTTTATTTTTTTAAACTGTTCAAGTCTTTCATATCCTATTAAAATAAAAAAAAGGAAATCAAACCTTCGTGATGACTTGTGTCTAGTCTCTTCTTTCTCTCTGTGTCTCCTGTCTCTGTGTCGGTCTTCTTTCTCTCTACTTGTTCTATGGCGGTCGTAGCCTCTTTCTGCATAGTCTCTGTACCTGTATCGCTCTTCATCACTGATTAAAACAGAAGACATTTTCAGGAGAGCAGCACATATATTAAAGAAATTCTTACACACTCTCAAGATAAACGACAGAAAAATTCAATGTTGTTTCTGGATCTCTAAATGAGATCTACAACATACGCTAAAAGGACATTAAGCTCTTCACACACGAGACTTCTGTGGCTGATCTAATTTTGGATTGTTCAATACAAATGGAAGGAAAGAAGAACAACAGTGTCACATCATTATTACCATGAGTGCTGCCCTGCCACAATGCTGGTAAAAACCCAGAATTTGAAGAGCTATACATACACACACACACAGAATAATACGATTATATATACAATAATAAAATAAATACAAGAATTTAAAGGCTTTACTTAAGAACACATTTCCAAATTTTGACTTGATGAAAAGGGCAATTCTAAGACTTTAGTGAAATTTCAGAAAAAAAATGAAAAAGAGCGGTATCACACATTGAGTGCCAAGTCCTGTTCAATTTGTTGTCCATCAGGACACCAAGCCCTTTCCTGTAAAGCTGATTTCTAGCCAGACAGACCCTCATCTGCTCTGCTGCACGGCATCATTGGGTTCCAGGACCTTAGCAATACAGTTGTTGCATTTTGGTTTTGTTTTTCAAATTGCTGAGGAAGAACCACAAAATGGTAAGGTATCAATCAAATTCCAAAGTTTACATTTTTAGTGGTAACTAATTGACTTGAAACTGTCAAAACAAAAAAAGAGAAAACACAGTCTTTGCAGAAGGGACAACAATTCAAAAAAGAACGGCATCTTCTCAAGCGGGCAGACTGAGATATGCTGTAAAAAATGCACAGTTTCATCTGAGGATGGCAGGGTAAAGGTAGAACAGAATATAAAGGGAGCTGAAGGCTCATTTTGAAACCACATTTTGGTTATACTAATACAATAAAAATAATTCCCATTTTCTTACAATTTTAAGTACTACAGCACAAATACAGGTTATTTATCTGAGAAAGAAGGGCTAAAAACATTGAAATTTTTGAGCAGTAAAAAGCTAAAGATGATGCTTACTCCAAATCCCACCACAGTGTTGCTTGACAAAGTTTAAACAAAGGGAATTTAAATAAAAGTAATGGATCTGTGCAGCCTCTAAAATAGTTCACATTCTCTTCCCCCATAGCTCGATTCATTCTATTTTCTTAAGTGAGTAGAATTGAAAATAAACCTTCTTAAAAAACATTACGTCTGCACGTTCTGTTTTAAGCCTCTCCCACCATCCCTGTGACTCCCAAACCAACTTACACTAGTTAAGGGCCTCCTGTTTTCTTACATGGCCATGTGGCAACAGCTTTGCTACAGATGGTGGATAATTTAGTCACATAAAAAAGTTGAAGCCTGCTCTTCCCCCTCCTTTACAGATAACTCTGGCAGCAGCACAGAGATTTCTCGAGGCCTGGAAGCTATTAAGGTTCATTTCAAGCACCCTTGAATGACCAGGCTTCTTTCTGGCCTTCAATCAAGCTGTCTGAGAAACAGATGTTTAGATTGGTCTTGAGTTCTCAGGAACTGACCCTGGAACGCAGCACACACACACACACACGGGTGAGGACATCACCACATCAGCATACGTGGAAAAATCCCCTGTCTTGCACCCAGTTTGGGTCTTCAGCTAACAACCATCATGCAAAAAATGTCATCTCTCAACTGAAGCAACGTTGACTCCGGGTGCTCTCATTTCCCACAGTGTAAAACCACTGGTAAAACCAATCCGCCTAACAAACAGCTAACATAGATATTCTGCAAAAATTGAAACTTAACAAAAACCACTGAGAAAAGCGCCAGGATGTTTACCCCAAAATACTTTTAGCAAAATAACAAGCGAAGTAAATTTAGATAAATCTGGCAAGCCAGCAGACCTCTGCTCTATGGAGTCACAGCGAGCTCAGCATTAAATGCTTTGTACTTGAACACATGAACCACAGAACACTTGCAGATTTTCTTTTTTTTAAAAAAACCCAACAATTAGAGAGTTGAAAGCTGAATAAAGTTATCTATCTATCTGCCATTACTTTCATAATCTGCCTGAAAATGAAAAAAAGATCTTGACCTTGAAATAATAGTTTTTAAAAAGATAGGACACATTATTATCCAGCCAGTGCTAATGACCAAACTAACCATTTTAGTCGCTAATAACATCATTAATTAAGGTCAAATGTTGCACCACATTGCTCTTAGCGCTGAATTGGCAACTAAGATTCATTTAGTACTTCTAGAGATTTTTCTAGAAGTAGTGATGTCAAAGAGCACTGGATATCTATCTCACTCACACACAGAGCTTAAATCCCACCTTTACGTTGCAAAGCACTATGACCAGTTTGGATGTATACTGTCGTTTGCACACTTCTGGTTTACATTTAGACATTTAATTATAGTTTCCAAGAGAAAAGGGGGAAGGGGAGGAAGCCACACCCTCTAGCTCTTTGGAATATACAGCTGAACGCTGGATTTTAATGCTGAAGTACACAACACAACACAGACACAGGGTTTTGAGCTTTTGAGTTACAGCACGTTGACAACGTTTCACCAACCTGTTGAAGACACTTGGAGTCGGACTGTGATCTCGGTCCCTTTCCCTGTCTCTGGTACGTTCTCGATCTCTGTCTCGGTCCCGGTCACGGTCCCGATCTCGGGATCGCTCTCTCTCCCGTTCCCTGTCCTTCTCTCTCCGTGCATAGTAATCCCACTGTTTGCTGGTGTCCATAAGACTAGACCAGGAAGGAGCAGAACCTGCAAGGTGCGGAAAGGTGACTAAAAAAAAGACGCAAGTATTAGAAAGAACAAAAATCAGGTACCGTATAAAAACTGTAATGCTACTTATGCATGAAAACACAAACGTTTGTCAGCCTCCTCCAATGACATTTTTTCAATCTTCCCCTTTTACATAAAAGCTAATTCTGAGCAAACTCTGCATTTTTTCCCTCATGTTAATAAAGGCCTCCAGCACTCATTTAAACACTAGATATGAAGATGTACAGAACCAGGATATACACCACAAAAACTGTCTAAATCCTTTTGGAAAAATATAAATATATTGTGCAAAGATTTCCTGAAAGAATCTGATTTTATGTGGTCCAATGGCTTTCTTTTAGGGGATCAACAAAAAAAAAAAAAAAAAGAGAAAACAAAACTGCCTTTGAAACTCAGTGGCTCTGAAAATACAGCTCAGAAAAATGGGGAAAAAAGATGCTTCCAACTTTATATTTAGATGCTACTATTTTTATGTTTTGTCCTTTAATATAATGGTATTTAAAATACAACATTAGTTACAAAGTTCTGCTTCGCTAATTTATATTCTATACTGCGCTGTGCCATACTTTTCTTATTAGAGAATGTAACAGCAGCTTTAGAAATAAATTCCATAAATTCATACTGGGGAGAAGAAATAAACTTATGCTTTGTTAAGATACTGTTTCTAATGAATACTCAGCACAACCACTATTACCACTAAAATATAATAGTTTCAGCAAATTAAGCATATTATCTAAAAGATGATATGCTTAAGAAGGAAATCAACCTTTTTAGATAACCAGCAATGGGAAGAGAGAAGGGATGTGCTTCTCCATTCCTGTCTGCCAACTGTGACATAATAAATAACTACTACTCTTAATGCCCCAATTGTTCTGTCCTGCCCTCCCTCTCCAGAAGCCCTGTAAACGCATCCTGTAATGAAAAATAAGGGCTGTAGTATTTAACTGGAAACAGCACTCTCTAGTGGACTTACAGTACTGAGGGATTCCCACTTTCTGCTTATCTGCCTTGCTAGCCAATGATAACATTGCCTTCAATAAATCGTTTGCTTTGAGCTCCACTTCTTTATCTATAACACGAGAACAATATTCACTTGACTCCACGGCGTCGCATAAAGAGATGAATAGTATAATGAACATAAATATCCACTGAACAATGTAAAATGCCTTACTGGTGCTGTATTTAATGCTGTTGAGTTATAAACCCAGTGTTTTCTCCTGCCAGCCATGCCCAGCCTGCCTTGCCTACAACGTCTGGGGCATGCCTGCCCCAGAAAGCTTTGGCAGAAGCCAAAGACAGCAGTTTGCCAAGCATCCAAAAGAAGAATACAAAAGATCTTTTGAGCAGGCAGCAGAGCAGGAAAAAACACTTCATTGTTAAAATACATTTGCAATGAGAAGCATTATAATTCTCTAAAAAAGCATTTATACGAGGCTTTGCCTCTAACAAAATGCTTGACACTGTTTCACTTCAGGGCTACAGACAAAATGAGGAGTTAACAGAAAAAAAAATACTCTAATACAATAGTATGTTGTTCAGTATACTGCCAAAACCTGAAATTCTTCTAAGGAAAGCAGCCAGAAATAGCAAAAAAAACCAGCTGGACTTTAAAGACTGCTAATTTCCTTGACTTGCCACTATGTCAACAACATACGTATGGTCTACAAGACTCTGGCTGCCAGAATATTTCTGATCTAAAGTGTAAACTTAGGTTTAACATTAAATGTATGCTACAAAAGAATTATTAATGGCAATATAAAATTCTACTATAAATTTTGATGACTCCCTCACATCTGCAGTAATTCTCATCAGACAAAAGTATGTCATCTCCACCCTAATAACGTGAGATAAACCAGTTATTCGATACTCTGTGCTTTTTTAGATGTAGATTTTTGCCTGTAATGACTCCCAACACACAAGCAGCTTACTTTCCACTATGAATTGGTGTTCTGTGTTTACTACTTAAAATAAAGTCCACTATGAATTGGTGTTCTGTGTTTACTATTTAAAATAATTTTTCACTTGTAATATCTTCACATGGATTATTCTAATAATTTCTACAAAAAGTAAGACACTTCCAGAGTTTAACTCTGATTTTATTTTTAAAACAGGAAGAGAGGGAGCTTTGAACAATCTATAGTTTTGGAGATTTAAGTCCCATTTTGGAGATGGTTTAAAAATTTAAAGCTGCATGATGTCACAGCATAAGGCAAGCTACTAATACATCTTCTTTGTGCCTCAAAAAATACTGACTCTCAAACTGTTTCTGTAACTCTAAATTTCTTGCGAGTTCTAAGATATAAAGAACATTTAGAGCACAGAGCAGAGAAATGCTTGAGGAGAAAGCAAACAAGCACACAATACAAGTTGTTTCCACAGCAGACCAAATGCAGTGCCGGGTACTGGCAGCTCAATAAAACTCCAAGGTCTGATGGCAAAGGTAGCATTGATGCAGTGGAAAAGCACAAAGGCAAAATAGATCCTCTTGAAGCTACATGTTACAGATATTATTTTACTATGCCACCTTCCCAACGGGCTTGCAGTGGGAAACATGCCTGACCACTAGGGAAAAGACGCCAAGGCATGAGATTAGAAGAAGGCAGAAGAAAGGCTTGAGCCTTAATCAAGACTGGTATTTTTTGCAATGCCTTCCATACCCTTATCTTCCCCTGCAAGTTTGACAAAGCCATGAAACGCAGAGAGGGGCAAAGAAAACAACAGGGTGGAGATTCAGGACCAAAGAGCAAGGAGACAAAATAAGTCAGCTGGAAGAAAAGGCACTAGGCTTGGGGCTGGATGGCAGATGCACTGAAGGCACCAGCAGTGACTGGCAATGTGCAAGGCCCTGCACCTGGGTCAGGGCAATCGTCAGTACCAGTACAGACCAGGTGATGAATTGATTGAGAGCAGCCCTGCAGAAAAGGACTCGGGGATATTGGTGGAAAAAAAGTTAAATATGAGGCAGCAATGTGAATTTGCAGCCCACAAAGCCATTCATATCCTGGGCTGCACGAAAAGAAGCGGGGCCAGGAGGTTGGGGTGGGATTCTTGTCCTGTGTGCTCTCTTGAGATCCCACCTGGGGTACTGTGTCCAGTTCTTGGACCCCCAAGTAGAAGATAGACACGTCACATCAGGTCCAGAGCAGCACCATGAAAAATCATCAGAGTGACTACGAGGGCAATGAGACACTGGAACAGGTTGCCCAGAGAAGCTGTGGCTGCCCCATCCCTGGAGGGGTTCAAGGCCAGGCTGGATGTGGCCTTGAGCAACCTGGTCTGGTGGGAGGTGTCCCTGCCCACGGCAGGGGGGTTGGAACTAGATGATCTTTGATGGTCCCTTTCAACCCAAACCATTCCATGATTCTATGTTTACTTTATCTTCCCAATTTGGGCTATCTCAGGAAGAAGCTGACATCTCAGTACTGTTGTCATTCTTGTGGGTCAAGAAGCAGAGCTGCGCTAGCTAACAGTTGTAAACTCACTGTAGGGTCTGTGAATGTCCATTTGATCACACATAATGACATTTCTATTTTGGTTCACTCTTACAATAAAACCAGAAAGTGATGTTTTTCAGCTTCAGATTTTTTCCATAACATTAACCAAAGAAAAGAAAGACTGATTTTGCAGCAGAGTAGCTAAAGGTTACAGTATCTTAGCCAAACAACCTCTCAAAGGAGATGTACATCACTCAGGATTTCTCAGTGACTGGTCTTGCTGGTTACAATTCTGATGATATCTCAACAGTACTTGTTCTCCTGCTTCTAAATCCTACCAGTTCTCAGAAAATTCTCACTGATTTTTGGTCCATATTATGGTGTATTATTTCTCAAAATCACAGTTCTGCAAAGGCAGCCTGGAAAGATACGCAGTATACAAATAAGCACAACAATATTATTTACCAACAGCTGCTAAATTTGCAACAACACGTATCAGTTTACAATAGTAGGCAACGAGCTTTCACAATGAATCATTGAAAGGACCTGTTTAGTCTCTTAGCTAAAATCCTGATATCAGACAATTTTATACAGTACAAGCCAAAACTTTCAAAGCCATCAAGCTTACTCACCACTGCCATATGAAAATGCACGAACAGAACGACCATCATAGCCAGAAGAATGTCCACTGTTGAAAAGAAAATAAGTGTAAAAATCCAGTTTTACCACCAAAGCTACCCCCATCAATAAATATATACTTTTAATATTATTCCTCTGAATTCTTACCTAATTAACTCCTCCATTTTAAGCATTGTTAATTAATGAAGCTGTCTATCAACACAAATATGTACATTTCACTTTTTACTACAGGAGGTGAAAATAGCATTCTCTCTTCTTAAAATTTAAAACAAAAAATATCCATATCATCAAAGCTGCTATTTTGTATTTTCAATTAATTTTCTATTTCAAATATTTATTGTATCATAAGAAGTCTCTGCACAGATACTGAACTTAATCTCCCAATTGCTTGGAAGTGCTTCATTCATGAATGAAGCCATTCTCATTCTTTCTCTTAAAAAGCAGATACGTGAGTGTATCTAAGAACAGGTGGACTTCAAATGTGCAATTCTATAAATAAACTACTAAACTAGCTACACATTTTCTAGGCAGGCTTCTTTCAGTGGCAGCCAACTCAAGTAGGTAAAAACTAGAAAGGTTAAAAAGGATGATATGTGCATAGGACATAAGTCACACATATATAGCCATGACTTTTAGCACTTCCTACATAAAACTTGAACGAGTTATCTTTGCTCTATTTAACCTAAGTATTATTTCTGTTCTTGAAGGCACTTTAACATTAAGAAATACATTTTGGGTTACTTTAAAAACAAAAGCAAACCAATGATAACAAAAGGCCAATGCAACATCTTAACATTTTAGAATACAAGATTCAGTTAGTTCCCAGGTTCCACAATAAATCTGATTTTTTTCCCTTCATATTTCAGAAACTATATAAATATTCACTACAAGTAAATGCAATGACCACTGCTTAACAGTCAGAAGCAGCAGTCACTCATGGCAACTGTCAGTATGAAATAATAAATTTACTTTCAGGCACATCAAATGCATCCAGCTAGGGTTTTTTCTGAATTAAATCAGACGAGGATTTTCTCAGAGATTTACCATCATCATCCTGTAGCAAATATGTTAATAGAATTTTCAATTTCAAAGGAACAGATCTTCCTTCAGTGAAACCCAAAGGACTAGCAAAAAAGAGGCTTGCACCATCTTCCTGATAAGTGAGCTTTGTACATGGCCTGGTTTTGGCCTCTAGCAAAATACAGATACATTCCAAGGACTGTGCTGACCAACCTTTTTTTCTTCCTTTTATATATGTATAAAAATATTTACCTATATGCATCTACACATGCATGTATATAAAAAAGGTATTATAAAAATACTGTTAGACCATTAAAGCTGAACACTTAAACCTCAGTAGAAATACAAATTTGGGTTCCATGGAACTCTGATGGTTCCTACAGCTTATGAGGGCTTCAATCTGTGGCCAAATTGATTATTTGTATTTATAGAAAAGGATACAGTAGCTGACAAGTACATGGCTCACTCAAGTAAATCTTCAGACTACTAAAGAATACTTTAACAATCATTACTTTGACTTTGCTCTGAAGTCTTGGCATCGATACAGTGTCATAACTCAACTAAACTAATAAGTGGTCAAGTAACCTACTCCAAAAAATATTATCAGATAGGTGAGACTAGTAACATTTCTGTAAAAATCTGAAAATGTCTCCCCAGTCCCAGATAAAATCTATAAAACACTGGATAGTGTAAGAGTCCTTCATAATTTACTTTGCAGAATATTGATATTTTGTATTATAGGATTTCAAACAGATAATCACCTTTCTATTGTGGGTATGAGGGAAGGTGGTGGACCGCCAGGTGGTGGTGCGAAGCCTGTAATAATAAATTAGGTGAGGGGGGAAAATAAACAACACACCAAATCGAACCATAAACACATAAAAGAAATAGGCTAAGCATGCAATGGCAAACAAATTGCAGAGTGCAACACAAAAAATTGTTCCTCACTGCATAAATGGCTTTTATTTTGTAAGACTGAGAACTACCTTCCAGCTTAACAAAGGCAGAGTATTACATGTGTATTATCAGTGCTTCAAAGCAAATACTGTATCATTTTAAAGATATAATAATTTGGAAGCATAGGAAAATTTCTGAGTATCTAACAATATGTATTAAACAACAATCCCAACTGTCTTCTGCATAGATGAAAAAATAAGAAGACTGGAAAGAAGAGAAGGAAGCACAAATCTAAGAACCTGGCTGAACAGGTTCACTAGTCAACAGCATTTTCACACATTTTCTTTTCTGCCTGGCATCAAAATAACTAAGCCTACATCTATACATATAGTTCTGTAGTTAGGATTTTTTATCTATGTAACTAAAAGGAAGTTGATAAGTTGCACATCAGCTAAGTTTTCATTTCTTAACCTAACAAGGAAAAAAAATTCTAGGGAAGTTTACCTGGTGGTGGCACTGTTATCGGTATACCTAAAAAGACAACAAATAATACATCAGTTATAGTAATACTTTATGTATATTATCTGCAGATCTAAAATCAGATTGAGCTATCACCACATACACTATCTAGAAGAATGATAACTTATTTTCTGTGTCCTCAGATGAAGATCTCACATTAATACCAATTGTTAAGATTTTATGTAAGCCTTGTCAAATCCATCTTTTTATTTAAATTCCTGTTCTTCAGGATCTTATTTAATTAGGGACAAAAATAATGAAGAATGACTCTGGGTCTCAAGATTAGAATTAAATCCATAACCCTAAAATATTCAGTATCCACAAGGAAAGTAACATCCCTTTACTTGCTTATTTTATATTCCATGAGTTGTTGAAAGGAAACCCAATTGGCCTCTGACCTTTAATAGCTTAGTATAGGAAACAGTACATCCACATGGCCAAAATATTCTAGCAACAGTGAGCATAACAGACTTTTCAGTCAGTGTTGTGCCACGCTACAATTAATCATTCAGTTGCTACTCAGGGGGAAAAAAAATCAACTACTCTATTTTCTTGTAAATATCTGAGAAAGGAGCATCCTTTAATACAAATGCATTCAAAAACTGTCCTAACTTTCCTGGTTTTCAGACCTAGCTTAGCTGTTACAAATTTAACTAAAAGCTGAGAAATTTTTACCAGCCACATCAGCTGACCTAACAAAATATACTGCCTCAACACCTAAACCTATCTTAATTATCAAAGGAATGACTGCAAGGTAAAAATCATTTGTACACTTCAAAGGTCATTACCTTCTCATACTTTGCAAAGAGCTACCTTTACCTCAATCAAACACAAAACCCTGTAAGATGAAAATAATAAACTGGGCTAAAACAACGTTGTCATAAAACTGACTGCTTTACCAGGCACAAACCTCCTTTAGTTATGAGCAACTCTGCTTCTATTAAAAAATAAGTACTTTCAATCTGACAACTTAACGCAAGACTCTGGGGGGAAGAGAACAGAAAACTTTGCCAAGTGTTGCCATAACTGCATAAACAGCCAGACAGAAGAGCAGCCAGACCCACTTAAATTAAAACCCACCTCATTCAAGTTCCAGACTTCATCGTTCAGGGACTATGTATATACTATTAGTTCAACATTAGAACTAAAAGACTATTGTATGGCAGCAATATTTAACTACATCTACATATTATAATGTCTAGAAATGCCAACTGCTCCCAAATTGCTTTGGCAGAAGGACAGAATGAAGCTGAGGAAGAGCAATCAATATCAATGCTCACCAATTGCTGGTGATTCCCTTGACAAGAATTCTTACCAGCATTAATCCTACAGGATTAACCAAATTGTGAAACTAAATGGTGGTTGCTGTCCAATCCTGAAGATTTAAAATCTAATATCTCAGCCAAAATGGAAATCAGGAGACAAGTGAACCCCAAAAGCCAAATAATTTTCTCTTCATCAGCACAAAAGTTTTCCAAAGTGCACTATCCTTGTTAAAAATGCTGGAAATCACACCATAAAAAGTTTGGGAGTGTAACATTTAAAAGACCAAACACTTCCAATGAAAACTTCTGAAATAAAAGGAAAACTGGGAACTCAAACTGTTGCACAGCTGAAGTATTTTCTATTAATCTCTTTTGCTTAATTGTCCATCTTAATAGATTCTTCATGAGCCTACAACATGGAAAATGTGTGCCTGCGTATATATATATATAAAATATCTCTTAACAACAATGTTGAGAATGTAAGCTAGAAAAATAACAGAAGTTCTCTCAAACTGGTAATTTATTAGCTCTACCTTAAAGAGATTTCAATTGCTGCACTAAAACCAGTCTCAGCACTATACACAGAATTGCCTGCAAAACCATCAGCTAATACTCTTTACAAAAAGGAATAAATTCTAATTAAACGATTAATATATTCCTCAGAACTTTATCTTGTGCAGTAATACAAATAACAATCACAAGATTAAAAGCCAAATAAACAATTTCCCTTAAAAGCCATTCAAACAAAATTAAGAAAGACTTAATACAGCTAATATCCAGAGACCAAATGACCAAATAATTTTAATGAATTGGTTAATACAAGGTATTATTCTAAAACAACCCCAACACATAGGCATCTTTTTCTCAAAAACCTTTAAGAACATTTAAAAAGTTATGATTAATGATTAAGTCATTTTAAGACAGAAACTAATTTACTTGGTGGTATCATAATGGAAGAAACATTCTTCTACATTCCAAGTTAGCAAGTACCTCTGAAAAGATTTAAATAAAGTTTTTCTCCTCACCTTCTTCACTAGGACACAAATGTGACACAAAATAAGAAACAAAAAACCCATAAACTTCAGTTAATGGAAAATGAAGAATCTCCTAACTCTTCACTCCTTTCCCTTCTACTAATGTAGTGTATGAAAATATACCTGAAGTGTCATCAGCCAATTACTTCTTCCGAGAAATAAAAAGGACTCTGAAATATTGAGTCATTTCTTGCAATGTAGGGACTAAAGTTGAGTACCAGTGCAAGAAGGTGGTATGTCCCTACCACACACTGTACTGCCACAAAGATACACTTGGCTTAAACCTAAATATTCAATCCCAAATGGCATTAGCGCAGCATTTTACCTAATGTGCCCAAAATTGCTTTCAGGACATTGTATACCATCCTACTAACTCAAGGCTGATAAATATTTACAGAAAACCAAATAGGTTGTACTGAAGGAAAGCAATGCCACATGTGCTCTGCTTGGGGAGTAAGGAATCGGACGTGGTAACACTGCCACAGTTTAACAACACACTGCAAATTAGCTGACCTGTGTAATAGCCCACAGCAACGTCATATAACTCAACTTGGTGTAAAAACTTCTTTTGCCACAGGCTAAACTAAGTCAAACACTCTCTCCTTTATCACAAGATAAAAAGTACACACTTAAGATTGCTGGGGCTGAGCAGATGTACAGCTACTCGCTAATCCTTGGTGCAAGTCAAGGCGTTCACATTTCCCAAAGTTATGAAACACAAGTTCAATAATTAAGAGTAATTTTTTTCCCCCCAATATCACAAAAACATGTCAGATTTCAACTACATGCTTCAACCAAACCACATAAAACAACTTTTAAAGCCTGTTAAACAGAAGCATCCACGTTCTTCTTTAGTTAGAAATTACTCCAACATAGCAATAAACCAAGCAAACAAAAAACAACACATTTTTTTTGCCACAGCCAGTGATCTCCTAGGAGTATTGGAGAATTTTCTGCATTTGGCCCTTTGAATCGTTCCAGGACTTGTTCCTCAAAAAAAGATTTGAATCGCAAGAGTGAATGAATTCAGAACAAGAGATCTAACTTCAAAGCAAGATCCTTTTTCAAAGGGGCTTTCGGAGGATGTTTTATATTTGGAATACTTAAATTTTCTGGCAAGTAGTCCTGGTTTAATACTGGGTAAGAGTAGGTTTTTCCCTCCCCCCCCCTCCTCCATTGAACCTAGGAGGGATGGCAGATTCTATTTTAGGAACAGCTTTGAAGATAAAGAGCTGGCAACAGCACAATTAAAACACAGGCCTGAAGTAACCAAATCCACAGCTCTTAATCGTTATTTTCAAATCTACTCGAAGCACGGAAGGATGTTGAAGGAGACCTTCTGAACAAGTGTATGTCATAAACCTGTCTGTAAACCACAAGACTAAAGCCAAACCTGCTTGCTAAATCTGCAACACATGTGGATTTCTTTCACCTTTAAAAACTCAACAGGTAAGGGGTTTCAGATGAATGGTCCAGTACACCTACCTGACATCCCTGCACCACATGCGTTTGGGGTGTCTCTGGGGGTTCATCTCAGGCTTTTAATCATATACAACTTAGATCACCTTTTCTGTTCCACAACTACAATACTTTCTAAAAATTCACAATGCATCACCTGTATTATCTTATCCCAAAAGTTTTAAGGCAGCTTAAAATCACAGTTAGCATTAGTGTTGCGTTCCCCTTCCTTCTGTCCCCCCAGCAGTACGGAAACATGACAAAATTGCAAGAGCAATAGCATATTCTTTCTTCACACACCCTACTTTTTATATTTATGCACAAAAAACTTGGAAAAAGGCACAGAATTATTTCATCTTTAAATCTCTTCTGTTTCCTAGGTTGCACCATTTTGTGTGTGACAACCACTGATGAAAGCCAGAGCTTGCTGGGCAGCAGGAGTTAATAGTTTTAAAATCATCATCAGCGATTGAAGAAAGGAATCTCTTCTATGAGGATTTAAACCCTCTAAAGCCCCCCACAAAATTGTTGCACAGAAACAATGTTACTTCATTGCTTATAGTCAAGAATATAAACAGAAAAACTTCTTTAAAAGATTCCCTATGCGGAGAGAAGAGCGAAAAAACTGGTCAGCATTATTTCAGAACAAGTCAAACAAAAAATTTAAAGGAACAAAATGGGAAAATAAGGAAAGGGGCACCACCTTAAATCAGTCACTTCTATAAAAAAATCCTTCACTTTCCTGCTCAAATAGCCCCCTGGTTTCTCCATCTATTTTCATTTCTCACTGACCATTCTTCTTAGTTCCTTGCTAAGTCCTTTTGCACTTTATTCCTTAAAATGACAACACTCAGGTAACTGCACTATTTGTGCAAATGCTCATGACACTCCCCCCAGTAAATTTCCAATAACGTAAAGTTTCAGTAAATATTCAGTAAATTTCAATCCAGATTTAACAATGAGAAGAGTACTCAAAGAGCTTTGATTCCTCTAAGACTTGCAGACACAGGCAGTTGGATAAAAACATGAGGTGCTAATAAGACCTCTGAGTAAAAGAAAGGATAAGGCACAAAGGCAATTCTTATCAGACTTTTGGGAATTCATACATACTCTGAGGGGAAAGGGGAATTGAAGTTTCTGTGGCTGCTTTGACCTTAGGCATCAGAGAATCCAACTTCTGACAGAAATTTGTGGTATGCCACAGTTTTAGTTCAAAAGTTTGCAGAATGATTAGTTAACATGTAGCTTTCATTAGCATTAACAGTAGCTCAACTACAGAAAACAGCTGCTCACTTCAAACATTTTCAAGGATATAAGATCCAACATTTAGTCTTTAGGTAATTTTTTACTACTTGGGATTACACTTAGTCAGAAAGTAAATACAAAAGTTTCTGTTTCTGCCTTGCAGATATATGTAAGAAAAGAGTAGAACACAAAATTCTGAGATTCCGCAGGTACAGCCGAATGTGCGTGGAATGTGTTGTCTTGAATTCATTATCATCAAGCATTTGATGATAATACATCTCTCATTTTTCACACCCTCTGTGGATATTTACCTGGTGGGGGAATCAGAGGTGGAGCAGTACTGACAGTAGGAGGGGGTGGGAGGAAAGGAGGTGGTGGAAGATGGGTAGGTGGAGCTCCTGGAGGGAAAAATGGAGGTGGCTTGGTAAAATTGTCTACTTCAGGATTAGATCGTTCTGAAAGAACCTGTAAAATATCAAACTATAGTTACAATTGCTACGTCAAAAGGGTAGAAGAGAGGTTTCCTCTCTTTCCAGTTACTACAATAGGAAAGTATTACTTATGCACCTAAAGAGCCATATTCAGATGGTTTACGTTCTCTCTACATCCCTACGTTCAACGTCCCATAATTGGCCAGTATCTCTGAGGGTCTAAGAGCAGCCATAAGGGAACAACAAATGTAAGATTTGAGAGGGAATATAAGCCATCTGAATATGGCCCAAAACACCATATTAAGTTGATTTATAAAGGAAAATATTTTAAAAATCAGTATGAGAAGCATGAAAAAAACAAGACTTCAAATTACTTAAACTTTACAAGATCAGCTGAAAAACACATGGCAGTGTTTTCAATGTAAGGACTACAATCCATCATTAACTTCATAGTTTAAACTGAACCTAAGTTGGCATGGAAACGTAGGTAGGGCACCTAGAAACCTTGATTCTTCTCCACAGGTAAATCAGGAGAGAAAACGTGTATTCAACCTTAATGCATTTTGTTGTTTTCTTGAGATAATCCAAGCCCATAAAGACTAATCTTACAATTTATGCCAAAATAATACAATATAATTTAAAAAAGTTCTATTGACTATTTATTCCTTCACAATTTATTTTTAAAAGACTGCATTTCTCAAACTGCATACAAAGAGGCTTTCATTTGCAGCATTAGTGTCTGGCAGGACTAGGGGAGAAATGGACAGTCAGTTTAAATATTTATGTTTGTCATTTAGTAAATAAAATTCTATCCCATTCAGATCTAGCAGAGCCAATGCTGCCTCCTGGATTGTAAGCCTGCAACATTGTTCATTTCCTTTCAGTAAGAAGTCTACCAAAACATTTATCTTTTGAAACATACCAAATATTTCATCTTAATATATTTCAATTAACTGACACAACTTTCTTCCCGAACTTAAAGCTACTTCCGTTTTACTCATTCATACACACTGAAATGTTTTAATCAGAAGCTGTGGGGAAAGCAAAAGTGTCTTCTAGTCAAAGATAGTGTGCAAATCTGCAGTATAAAACCTGTATGTTGCTGTTTTCATTAGCACGTCGTCGTCCTTCCACCCTGCTGATAGTGATGGTCTGTCCAATCACATCTATTGTACCAGATAATCGCCTGCAACACAGGACAAACCAGAATCAACAAGCAGAATTAGAAAAGGAGAAAAAAAAAAGAAAAATAAACGAGAGAGAAGAAAGTCTTACAGACTTCTCTCATTCTAAAGTTTCTTCTCCTTTATAAAACATAAAACATTGTTTCTGAAGAATATTCAATGTGATAAATTTGCTGAGCTATAGAAGTGTGTAGAACTAAACAACGCAGCACTAAAGACTCCTGTAGGACAAAGACTGACTCTCCACATTCTCCTTCCATCCCCTAAAAGATAACAAATCTACACCTGTTACAGATAAACGAAATAAAACCACAACAGGAACAACACAGTGAGATCACAAAAAAACTCAGTGAGAAAAAAATATATCAAACAGAACACCTACAGAAATCTGAAGTAAAATAGTTATAAGCTAATAATTAGAAACATTTTCTAAACTGGAAGAAACCATGCTGGAAGATTCCGTGGGAGATCAAACAAAGGTAAATTAGGAGGCAGAAATAAACAGAAGCCAACCCTACCACACCTACTGTCGATACTGCAGAACATACTGAACAAAATCAGCCACCATCTCTCTTGTCTTAGAATACACAGTCTTAGCATCAAAGAGTAAGTACATTCAACTAGTCAACACTGAGTCGTAAATTAAACTCAAAAGCATCTTAGAGAAGCCATTCATACTTCTGTTCCTTAGTTTTCCAAATGCACATGTCTCTCAAAAACCTCTAAAACATTCATATTAGCTACGCACCATGTTCGCCTCCTTCAATGAAGCTGGCAACAGCAGCACAAGACCCATCTCAGCCTCCCTTACAACCCAATCAAGCAACAACAGAATATAATGCAAATTAAGAACACTTAGAAGTAGTTAGTAATAGATTTTTAGAGAAAGATGACATGAAAAGTGACATGCATATACACATTCTTTCCCTCTCATTTTCTGCCAATCAAAAATTTAAGGACTTCCCATGCAACTGTGTTTAATAGCCCCTGATTAACTTGCATTTGCACAATCTCTTCTGAACACACTTTTGCTTTTGATCTCCAGTGACGAGACCTGTTTAAGCTATTTTTTTCCCTGACAATTGTCCTTGGTGCCCTAGATTACTTGTGTTTAAAAAAAAATATTAAAAAATATATAAAAATATCCCTGTTCTCTGGCAGTGTATCTTTAAGTTCCCAAAATCATCTGATATTGTGGCCACACAGCTGTCAACTGCAACTTTATTTTTAACTTTTCAAAGCAGATTAAAAATGCTACACTGAGGGTAAAGACATTGGATACAAACACTAAAATTTAAAGTGTAATCAATCTCTCAAAATCTTCAATAAATCAACCACATGGGAATATACTGAGTAATTCAGTAAGGACTAAAAAAGTCCTCCACAGTAAAGGAGGACTCCAGGTGCCAGATCAGAAAATAATATGACAAGGATCTGAAGGTCATCTACTATAACTAAAACCTGGTACCTGAGACAATGGGGAACCACTATTTTGAAGAGAAGAAGAATCTAAACTATAGTGAACTTTCTGTTTGCAGCCCCAAAATAAATGAAACCCAGAAACCTAGCTTCATAGAGAATTTATAACTCTAATATTCTTATGCAGACAGAACAAAACCTACCTGCTTTGCAGCCCACGGTTAATTTCTAAAAGAGGTTAAAAAGCAGGATTCACTTAGGTCAACTCCATTAGAAAATGAGGTACAAAATTACATTGCTAATGGATGAGAGAAACAAAGGTACATCTGTGTCACACCTATAAGGGAAACCATAGTAGAGAAAACTGACAATATTTACCAATAGCATGATACATAACAAAGTAAAAAAAGACTGGGGAAAAAAAACTTTCAGGAAATTTTAGAAAATAAATGCATAGAAAGAAAAAAAACACCATCTAGTTGTAGAAGAGAAATTCTTGTATTTTTTTCTCTGTAGTGGACATTAATACAAATAGCAGGGAGAACAGCTGGAAAGTGGGATTACTAACTCCAAGTTCTGATGGACTGATAGCTCTGACCCCAATTGTTCAAAAACCTAGATTCCAAAGCAGCTGAAAAGGACACAACAGATACTAGAACATAAAGGACCAATTAGATCTCCCAGGGATAATCTAAAGTTCCTTTGCAGGCTGCATACTGAGGATGACCCAAATGCCCGTCATCTGAACTTTGCAATAGCTGGGTTTAGAGCTTCCTCCTGGATTTTAAAGGAAGTTCATGAAGCACAACAGTTTGGAGGAAAAAAAAAAATGGTTCCTGGATTTTAAAGGAAGTTCATGAAGCAAAACAGTTTGGAGGAGAAAAAAAATGAAAGTCCAATGGTACAAGAGTCTGAGAACACATCTGCAAACTAAAATGGTATATACTATACAGCAGCCTCTCCAAGGATAACACAAGTTTGAGGAATTCTCTTGTCTTCTAAAATCCCAACCTAAAAGTCAGATTGTTTCAGTCTAAATCCTGAAATAATCAACACCTGCTTTCTAATCCTCCTCACTAGTCTTGCATGGTATTCCATCACTGTCACACTTTGGGAAAGTCCAATGGTACAAGAGTCTGAGAACACATCTGCAAACTAAAATGGTATATACTATACAGCAGCCTCTCCAAGGATAACACAAGTTTGAGGAATTCTCTTGTCTTCTAAAATCCCAACCTAAAAGTCAGATTGTTTCAGTCTAAATCCTGAAATAATCAACACCTGCTTTCTAATCCTCCTCACTAGTCTTGCATGGTATTCCATCACTGTCACACTTTGGATAATTACTTTGTTTTCAGTAACTAAATTGAAAACATCAAACTAAAATGGTATATACTATACAGCAGCCTCTCCAAGGATAACACAAGTTTGAGGAATTCTCTTGTCTTCTAAAATCCCAACCTAAAAGCAAACTAAAATGGTATATACTATACAGCAGCTTCTCCAAGGATAACACAAGTTTAAGGAATTCTCTTGCCTTCTAAAATCAGATTGTTTCAGTCTAAATCCTGAAATAATCAACACCTGCTTTCTAATCCTCCTCACTAGTCTTGCATGGTATTCCATCACTGTCACACTTTGGATAATTACTTTGTTTTCAGTAACTAAATTGAAAACATAGGCATTATAAAACAATTGCTAAGGAAAAAAAAAAAAGATAATTGAATTTTTGTAAAACAACAATAATTTGTATCAGTTTTCACTCTGACAGCTCATTTGGTTTCAGAGATAGGCATTATAAAACAATTGCTAAGGAAAAGAAAAAGATGAATAATCAACACCTGCTTTCTAATCCTCCTCCCCACTGGTCTTGCATGGTATTCCAGCACTGTCACACTTTGGATCAGGATAACACAAGTTTGAGGAATTCTCTTGTCTTCTAAAATCCCAACCTAAAAGTCAGATTGTTTCAGTCTAAATCCTGAAATAATCAACACCTGCTTTCTAATCCTCCTCACTAGTCTTGCATGGTATTCCATCACTGTCACACTTTGGATAATTACTTTGTTTTCAGTAACTAAATTGAAAACATAGGCATTATAAAACAATTGCTAAGGAAAAGAAAAAGATGATTGAATTTTTGTAAAACAACAATAATTTGTATCAGTTTTCACTCTGACAGCTCATTTGGTTTCAGAGTTGTATGACACTGCTTTTCCTCATTGCTTCTCTTCATTATCTAAAATATCTATCTTCTCTTAATTATCTAAAACCGTACCCTAGAAAACTCATTTTACCTAGCTTTAGTCCTTGTGTTTCATAGATGACTCTCCTACAGCAAGAAGCCCCTCCTCAGGTGACTTCCTACTTGGCTCACTCCACTGTTTTAAAGGGTTTCCACTTGGGAGTTATATATTTCATACTAAGACTCTTCCTCTCTTTCGCTGCTTGCACACCACCAGCAACTCTTGGAATCGGCATTGAAAACAGAGGCCATGGACACCAGTGCAAGAGTACTGGGCATGAAAATAATATGTGCATCAACAATACTACAATAATACCATTTTGGCTTGGGAAGCAGCCCAAATACAACACTGCATGATCAAAGGAAGCAAATCTAGACTACCAGTTGGTTCCTGGGCATCAACTTTACTGATATGAACAGGGTTTTCAATTCATTTTTTCTGGAGTCTGAAGAGTACACCTATGCTCACTCATTCTTACCCAGCTGGTGCTTTGTAATTATTTTTTAACAAAGTTTTATAGCAGTATGCTCATAGTTCTTCCCAATAGCTGCCAAGAGATTTAATTTTTGTAATGATGCACGAGTTCAGCCATTTGCCATCGTATCTTGAACTTGACAAATTCTCTGTTTCCAAGACTGCAATAATGATTTCATTAAGTACTCCACTAAAGGAGCTTGAAATTGAACAAGAGAAAGCATATGTTCAGTTGCAAACGGAGCAGCAGATGACACCACTGTCAAAAACATAATCTTCACAAAGGCAAGAGAGGCATCTGAAGCGTCTGGAATTTAACAGTTCAGCAGTTTTGTAAAAGGGGCAAATCTGAAGCCTCGGATCTTGATTAAGTCATTGCGAGTTGGCACGTGGGGAAATTTCAAAGCCTCCCCAGTTGCTACCTAGCTTAGCTATGAGATGTTAAGCCAGCATTACTGGGTTCCTGTCTCAGTGCTTTTTGCAAAGAAAAGAAAGGGTTTGGTTTGTCCCTTACACGCTCAGGGCACCTGGGATACAGATGCATTCCCAATGGATACACCCAAACATAAAAAGGCAATCCATGCGTGTGGGACGCACATGAACCCACAGCAGAGTTCATGCAGAGTGTAGCTTGAAAGGAACATTCCATCAACTCAGTGAGTGATATCACTCTAATTACAGAGCAGTTATTTACGAGCTATTTGCACTAGGAATACCACCATCCACGGAGATTTAATTCAGAATGATATCTCAATCTCATTTGGCAAGTAGAGTTTATTTAGGTTCTACAGAGCAGAGAGGAAGGGGGAAAAAACAAGAGAAAAAAAAAAAGACAAACCCAACTTTTTTCTGAAGTCATAGCTTCAGAAATCACTTATCCTCACCACAAGTAATACAAATAATTAATTGCTTTTTGGAATCACCTCACACGCACTTTTTTTGAATTCAGAAATAGTCATAATTAATTGCTTTTTGGAATCACCTCACATGCACTTTTCTGAATTCAGAAATAGTTTAACTACTGGATGCCACATTTATTCACTAGACTTATAGTCTACTCTAAGAATTATAGTATGCTTTAAAAATTGCACTTAATATGTTCCTGTGTTCCTTCTTGTCTTGGTTATGTGTTTTATGCTTTATTTTCCTCCTCTTGAGTATAGCTTCAACTTTGCTGAGCTCACTTGCCATTGACTGATATAATTAAGAAGCAAACAAATTTAATACAGAAATCATTGATATATGAAATAGACCTTATTTTTCAAAAACAAATTTAATACAGAAATCATTGATATACGAAATAGACTTTTTTTTCAGAATAATATCTGAGTTTTCATCATTTAGTCTCACAAGGCTAGTTCATGAAACAAGAGAAACCTGTATTTTTTCCATAGTAATGACTTATCACAAATCCATTTTCTATAAAAATTCTGTTTACAGAAAGGCCCAAGCACAGAGGAAGCTGATAAATAGCCCATCACACCGACAGGCTAATTTCTCTGAAAGCAAAATTCATTTAAATGTAATGTGCTCTTTTGTAATAACCCAAAAAACAGTAAGCGAAGGTTGAAAAGGTAAGAGCTTCCAACAAAACAAAGTTTTGAGATGGAGAGCTATTCTAGATATTACTGAAGTGACAAAATACCAGTTTTTGCATCCAGCTTGTAAATGAAACTTCTGCTTATTTCTCTATGACTAAAGCAATGCTACCTCACAGTCCTTGAGAAGTGACATAAGGAAAAACACTGGTCTAAAAACCAGTAAGATTTCTCTGTGACCTGGCTGATTAGGACAGGTTTGAAATATGTCAAATACTCTTCTAGAAAGCCCTACACTCAAAAGAGATTCCTTTAGGTTTTTACCTTGTGACTAAATACTCTTCTAGAAAGCCCTACACTCAAAATAGATTCCTTCAGGTTTTTAAACTTGTGACATTGTGCACAATGAATCTTTAATTAACTACCTCTAGAGAACAAATATTCGATTGTATACCATATTGTTTGTGTATGATGTGCACTTCCTAAACCATTTCCATGATGTTCTAACTCTTTCTTCAGGATTACACAACACTGTATGCTATTCAACAGCCCTAAATATCACAGAATCAAGACAAGAGGTTTCAGGTGTCATTCCTAAAGAACTAATAGCTCAGCCATGATTAAAGCAGTCACTGTTTACAAACTCAAGCAAAATTTCTCACACAGACACATTGTATGAAGAAGCACTGAATTTTGCTTTGAATTAAACATTTAGGATGCAATTCTAGTGAAGTAGTAATTTATTTGCTGGTAAGCAATAATTCTGTTTGCATTCTGTAAACTACAACCTCCATATTGGTAATAAGTAACAGTCCTGCTGACCTCAGAGATATTTTTTTTCTTTTGGAGAATTTCAGCTGCAACTATATGCAAACATTCTCTGTACTCAAACTAAAAAGGTAAAACCAGTTGGCACAGAAGTATTTTAATGTTTGTTTACAAACAAAATAAAAAAGGAAAAAGCAAAAACCACCATCTGTCCTCAGATTTCCCATTAAAGAGAAACGTGTGCTGTAACATTTATGTGTACAATCAGCCACAAAGCAGTGTTGGAAGCTCTGACTAGTCAATAGGGAATTAAAATGTTAAATAAGGATCACGTGATCATGTCCTGATTTCCTCCCCCCCTTACCTTAAATTTGGGTGATTTGTCCCTCCTGTATTGTTCCTGACACTTTCTGATGCCTCAACTGGCTTGAGGTGCTGCTTGTGGTGAGATAAATTGCCAAGGTCCTTCTTTCCTTGTGTCTCTACCTATTCTGCTCTTTGAATTCCTCTTGTCCTCATGCCCAGCCTCTTAACAAGCCCCACACCGACGCTGCTCTACACAGCTGCATCAGTTTTCCCTCCCTTTTGACAAACACATCAAATGCTGCCAGAAGCTGAGAAAAGTTTTACTGCTACATGAGAAATGCTTCCAGCAATTTCACAATAAAGCTATTACAAATGCCCCATGGCATAAAGGCAATTATTTTCAATTATCAAAGAGCTGGATTGCCAAAAAATTTCTGCCTACCTAAAACTAACTTTTTAATTAAAGAAAAAAAAGAGTCCAAACCCAACCAGAACACTGCCTGGTTATAAAGAAATTAATAATGCAGGCTTTTATATATGGAAAATAGTAGCTGTGTTCTGGAGAAGTCATTCATATAGAAGTATTTATAATCCATACAGTTATGACTTATTCATTCATTGAGCTACTCTCAGACTTTTGAACATGCAGTTTTCTTTCAAAATCTCTCCTGACCACTTGGTAAAAATATCTTTTCCTTCACACAATAATTTATTTTAAGCAAATGTATCCAAAGGAGCAGATATTAAATATGTAAAGAAGTCAGCTTTGCTATTGTAACAACTTACTATTACAATATTCATGTTAACTGTATATAAACTAACTTATTCTAACCACTGGAATGCACAAGTGCTACAACTGGAAACGTACATTTCCTCTTTTATCTAGACAACAGACCAACTTCACTTACTGGCTTCTCATTCTTAAAGATATATGGGTTTCCCAACGTTTGCTAAAGTAAAATTAATTCCTAAAAAAAACAGACACATCTTAAGTTTGTCAGGAAGGCTCTGGTTAACAACAAATATATTAACTTTAAACCTTAAAAAAATCAGAAAGATGGTCACTTAAACTTGGGATTGCTAACTTAGGCAGAAAAAAGAAGTATCACATAAAAATATGGTATAAAGACATGTGTCCTAGCTGGAGCCTACAACAAAGACTTTACTTATGAAGCCTATGCCACGTACATGTATCACCTTATTCTGTTAAGCTTTCTCACAATAAACGTAAATCTCACAGAATCACAGAATTTAAGCAGTGTCTTTTTTCTACAACTTTAAGCTCCACTACATTTTAATATCCTGGTCATTAACTACTTTCTAAAGTATTTTAGAGATTCTCTGTCCACCAATGAGATGCATCCGATAATTTATTTTAAGCAAATGTATCCAAAGGAGCAGATATTAAATATGTAAAGAAGTCAGCTTTGCTATTGTAACAACTTACAATTACAATATTCATGTTAACTGTATATAAACTAACTTATTCTAACCACTGGAATGCACAAGTGCTACAACTGGAAACGTACGTTTCCTCTTTTATCTAGACAACAGACCAACTTCACTTACTGGCTTCTCATTCTTAAAGATATATGGGTTTCCCAACGTTTGCTAAAGTAAAATTAATTCCTAAAAAAAACAGACACATCTTAAGTTTGTCAGGAAGGCTCTGGTTAACAACAAATATATTAACTTTAAACCTTAAAAAAATCAGAAAGATGGTCACTTAAACTTGGGATTGCTAACTTAGGCAGAAAAAAGAAGTATCACATAAAAATATGGTATAAAGACATGTGTCCTAGCTGGAGCCTACAACAAAGACTTTACTTATGAAGCCTATGCCACGTACATGTATCACCTTATTCTGTTAAGCTTTCTCACCATAAATGCAAATCTCACAGAATCACAGAATTTAAGCAGTGTCTTTTTTCTACAACTTTAAGCTCCACTACATTTTAATATCCTGGTCATTAACTACTTTCTAAAGTATTTTAGACATTCTCTGCCCACCAATGAGACACATAAAGAATTGAAACCCTGTAACAAAACCTGTACTAGATACAAATTTAGAATCCTTATCCTGTGAACAGTACATTCAATTTTGAGAACTCTGTTACAGGAAGATCACGCATCAGATGCAATTCAGAAAAGTTAAAAAAAAATAATTACAGAGTTGGTAAAAAGTTGGGAAGCCTTCTACTACTTCTTAGATAAGAAAGATAGAAAAAAAAAAACAAACCCTAAAATCGACTAAAACCAGAGCAGTATATCCTGTCAGCTCAGAGAAGAATTTAGGCTAACAAGGAGGAATATTCTAGAAGCGAAAGAAAAATATAGGTATGAGTATCAAGCAAGACTTTTTTTTCCACCCAAGAGAAATATATTTGGGTCTTGAACTGAGTCTTAAAGAAAGGAATAATTGACCAGGAGTGCCTCTGAATCAGTCAAGCTACTTATGGATGCAGTGCTCAAGACAAGTCATAGATGCTAATCTTTAACTGCTGCTGATGAAAGCGTTGAACCTGCTCTACCTCTCGTACCATCATTTATAATACAATGGCTTTTAATTTGCACAGAACCAAAACTCCAAAAAAGGATCACTTGATAACTAAGTAAAGCAGAAGCATGGATTCAGCCTACAGTCAAGTGCCAGATATCAAGCAGCTTACATATAAAGCACAGAACTTGTTAAAGCCTGGGGCTGGGAGGAGGGGAAGAAACCCTAGTAAGGAAATAACTTTTCTCATTTCAAAGAAAGTATAGTAAAATACTCAAATATGGAGAAGCTAAAGCTGTCTTGCCAGAAAGAGACTGGGTTCTGGGAATTCTTGCAGTGGAAGTCATAGTTGTCTGATTCCTTCTTGTTTGAGAAAGTATGTTAGCTAACACCTATAAAGAAACTAGCTAGAAACATTTTGTTGGCCAAACTAATTCTACACTAAAAACATGGTGTCATCAACACCTGGATTTTTGTGGCTGCCTTGCCATTTGATCCTGGTGTTTTTTCTCCCCTTTTCTTCCTACTTTCTTTTTCCTGAATAGCCTAGAAGGCTTTATACAGTATTCATGTGTAATGGCGACTGAAGGCCAGAAGTGATAAGGATCGCTCTTCCCCTCATTTCTACCTGTTATGGAAACATATTTTCCTTTTTTTCCTACAAAAATCATGAACTTCAAATACACAGATGTAGCAGAATAAAAAGTTATTTGGTCTTGAGTTACAACTCTCTAACTGACCTGTTTGTTGGAATTCCTGATTTGAATAAGGCAGGAGGAGATGTGAAATCAGCTTTGGTCGACTGCACTGCCAACTCTTTCTCCAAATTTCCAGTTCTGCCCTGCTGTACCTTCAAAATAATGTTTCATCATTAGTTTAACCTCAGAAGTGTAGTAGCCCCAACACTCAAAGTAGCACACAGCCAACACAGAAATATAGTAAGTTTAATCAGATTTTTTAAAAACTATCATCTTTATACACCTACTAAGATTCCGTATTTTATAAGGCTATATTACTTAAGTACTGTGTTTAATATATATATAAAAGAAGCATTATGCCATAGAACAAATTATTACAGAAGATTAGATGGTTTCAATATTTATTTTGCAAGCATTTGATTTGGACATGAACGCACCAAACTGATTTTCTTGTAGAATTTCCTGTATGAACAAAATAACATCTTAATTTTTAAAAGACGCAAACTTATTAAGATAATAAAAATTTTCATAATCTTAACAACAGAGATATCTAACAAGTCTGCTACCCAACAACAAACCACAAGACAAGCAATTGGATTCTCTGTCTGCCTTACTGACTATGAGATCTAGTAACCTCTAAATTTCCAAATCATACCAGGGAGTGACCTCACACTGTCTTACGCAAACTTTGAAAGATTTTTCATTAGTTCAGGCTAAATACTGCAAAAACATTGTTTCTAAAGCACTGCAAAATTCCAGAGACACGTTATTAAAGCTATGCCAGACCTTTGGTGCAAATGCTTTAAGTATCATTTGACTTCAGCAGCGCATTAGACATGAAAGAAAAGCCTACGTGGGTTAGCATTAAAGACAAACTGGTTCTGATCCAGTTTTTAAAGACACTCCCACAGCACCAACCACGCGGCTACATCACTCTGCAGAGCTACATCACTCGTGGTGTAACATCACACAGCCTGAGAACTCACACCTTGTAGGCAGGTGAAGTACTAAGGTTTTGCAGAATCTCACTTCTAAACACAAGCACCTCTTTACCACCCTCCAAAAAATGCACATAAATAGGTAAGATTCATTACAAATGGAATTAAACTTTAATATCCAGCAATATGAAAAAAAAAAAAAAAAGACCCAACATGAATGGGTTTGTTTTAAGCATTTAAAACTCCAAAAACTCTGCAAGACTTCTATTAATTAATAACTGGAGAATGTAAGAGACAAAGTCTTGCCAGTTACAGAACATTAATCCAAACATATCATGTAAGTTACACGAGACTTAGTATTTCAGAAGAGTGGAAAAAAGTTAATGAAATTATTTAATAATTATATGTAAACTCTATACAAAATACATGACAAACTGTTACTTCAGACTCTTACAACACAATTATTATCTGTACTGGTTGATCACTGGACTGCCAGAGAGTCAATACCGAGCCAGAAATAGGAGACACCTTGCTTTGGAATTCTTATCCTTCTCCCTTCAGGACATCAGTTCAGAGAAATTTTAAGCATAGTCAGTTGCAAACAGTAACTCCCATTGCCCACCGTTTCCACCATTCCATAACACTATTATAATGATAACTGAGAAAGGCAAAAAGCCCCAGGGAGCTTCTGATCTGTTCTTGCTAAGAAAAAGTTAAAATGACTGGATACCCTCCAGTAGCATATGAGGGCAAATAAAAATACCTGTACATTGCAAATAAGCAAAATAAATAACCTTTGTATTCTAATTTCAACTTTAGCATCTAACAAAAAAATAAATGAGAAAATGAGAAGTTGAAAAAAACCCCAACATTCAATCCTTAAGATAAACCCCGTCACACAGATTTTTCTGCTTTCTGAAAATCAGCATTTCCGAACAGAAAAATATTATATATAACTTGATTCATTGCCATCTAATTCCCAAAGGCCAACAGAAAAATATGGAAGATTGATTTTCAAATCTCAGAGTTGCCAAGGATAAGTCTTATAAAACACAGTAAGAGCTGAAAGGCCACAGGAAAAATAAACATGCCATAATCTACAAAAGCTTCCCCAGCACATCTGCACAAATTCTATAATCTGCACAAACAAATGCACTACAACTAAAAATAAACCATCACATAAAGGAAAATTAATTTCACTGAGAAACTGGTTAGTTCACCAGGCCATTAACTCACATGCTCGTAGAAAGGTGACGAACAAAGCAAGACTTTTTAATCACCATTTTGTGACATATGCAGAATGTCACTGACGTAAGATGAGAGTCTGAAATAATGGCTACGTCCATTTCAGTTGTTCTTCTATCGGTCTGCGCTGGCACGGGAAGCAATACTCAACAAAAATGACAGCAACCAACAAAAGTTTACTAAAATTCACCTTAAAAAGATGGTATCTGCCATCGAGAATCTCTGCACTTGGTCTTACTTCCATAGCCTTGTCTTCAGCCTAAGTTAAATAACACATTGCCCATTAAGATACCATAAAACTCTTACGAGATGGGCCACAATCTGAATACTGGTACAGATGCAATCCAGCTGTAGCTAGTCTGTCACACTACCCACACAAATTTCAACACAGGAACACTCTAAGGCTCAAGGTGGGGAGTCAGCTACAACCTCTAACAAACACACTGAACTGGACAGAACAAGCTTATGACACACAAGCAGCTTTACAGGGGAAAAAGCGTGTAGAATACCACAAAAGTTGTACTAATTACCGTAATTTTATTTGTGGTTGAGGTAACTGGTAAAATTTCAAGACCCATTCGTATTCTCTTTTGTTTTTCACAGTAAGCTTTCCAGGTATCTTCATTGAACCCATAGTTGAAATAATCAGAGAGATCAGCCCCTTTAAATAGAAAAACATAGATTTTTATGGCATTACAAAGTTCATTTTTTCTTCAGTGAAGATACGCACACCTCTATTTATAAAATCAAAATAGTAATCTCCACAGAGGTACAGACTTCCAAGGAGAGTTCAGGATAGACATGTATTTAAAAAAAAAGTAAGTCCTACAGTCTCTTTTTACTGACATATGTGTGGAATATCCAGTAAGAAACACGGCACACCCACACAGCACAGTGGCAAGGAGTAACTTAGCTGCTTTCTCCAAATTATATTGTACAGTATCTCTAGCTATGAGGTAGAGAACATCTAGATGCAGTAAACGGGAATTAGGATTAAAATAATTTACTTAATACCTACATATCAGTTAATATAAACCAGAGCATTACCTGGCTTTCTCCAAGGTTTATCTTCAAAAGAATCTAAATCTACTTCCAGAAGGGGTACACCATTAATATTCCCTGGTGCATCTAGATCCACGCCTTTAACTTTTGCACCTGTGAAGACAAGTTAGAAAGTTAGAGCCTTCTGTCTCTACCAAGTACAGTTTTAACAGTTGTAACACACTTAAAATAGAAATAAAAAGTCAGATTTAAATTTATCAAAAAATTTTGGAACTTAAAATTATTTTCCTTATTCAAAACAATCAAACATTTTTTTCATTTTTATTAATATTACTGTGTAAATTTTCTTACCAGAAGATCCATAAGCCCGTCCTCCTGTCTTAATATTGAGGTTCACAGGTGCCGCTCCATAACTTAAAAAAATTAACAAAACTGAATTAGACAGAGAAAACTCTTAAAACACATGTAAAACACAAACCAAGAGTTAGCTAGATCCAGAAACAAACTAGACCCAGGCTCAATCGTCATCCTGAATCTCTAGCTTTCCAAGCTGGTAACACTGTAAAAGTAAAGAGATCAGCCTAGGAGGAAGAGAGTGTACCTTTCTATGCTCAGTAGCAACTTCTCCAACTAATAAACAGTTGTGAAGCAAGTCCCAGTCACTCTTCCTGAGTTGAAAGGGTAAAGACCTTGATAGAAACAAGAATGGACAGAACCAGGAGAAGAGAGAAAGGAAAAATGCGGTTCATTTCGGGATACAGATGACACTCTGCGGATTAGCATAAAACCAAAGTAAATTTAAAAAAAAAAAAAAAGAGAAAGAGTTCAGACAGATTCTTTTTCCTTTTCATAATTATACCATTTAATCTGTACAGAAGTGGAAAATACAAGCATTTCTCTACAATGACTGAAAGGCTGTCTGTTTCAATGTACTTGTAGCAGCCACCTGTCTTTGTGACACATAGAAATGTATGTAACATTTCACTTTCTAAAATACTTGAAAGCTTTCTTTATAAAAATGCACTCAGAAATCTAGATTCTGAACTGATCTAACCACCTTCAGAATCATAGTATTGTTCACTTGGACCATTAGGAGCTAGCTTTCACTGCCATTTACATGCAATGTAGCTTATCCCTACAGGTTGTATCAAACCATAAAAATAATAAGATTAGCATATAATTAGAAGGCAATGTACAGTTTACAATCTCACATCCATGCAGTTTTAGTTCTCATTCAAGTGCTACAGCAGTACAAAACTGACAGAAATCATTTAACCTTCTGATCAGCGAAGCTGCATTTGTGCATGACTTTGTCAAACAAATCTTAACTGCTGTTTAATAAAAAACAGTAACTACTGTCTGAAAAATCTTTTAATCCTATAAAAGGAACTTGTCATACTGAAGCTAAAATGAACAGCAATGTTGAGTTTGTTTTACATTACTACTCTTCCATGAACTTTCTGTCCTATTTGCCCAGAAAAAAGGTTTTTCAGAAAACATCCATTTCTACATAAAACTTTCTATTCTAATTAGATTTAGGATCATTTGCTCATTGTTTTCTGTACTCCAGAGCACCAGCAAATCCACCGAGAATATAAATCTAGTTTTGCTTTAGACTTAAAAAATGTGAGGTCACCGCCTATACCACAAGCGTACTGCAAGTTATTGAAAGCAGACAAATAAAGAACTGGAAGAATTGCTATTTTTTATATTACATTGATTTGCAGTTAGTTTAGGATATGACATACTGAAAGTTTAAAAATACTATGTTTCAAAAAATGAGTATATTACCTGCATTCTAAAGTTAAGAACACAATAATATACATGAGTCAGACCTACCTGCAGACCTGTCATAAGTCTATTAAGAAATTACACCCTAGTAACTCTGGTTTTAATAAGCATAAAACCATTAGGATTGCCAAGACAAACAAGCAAACCACTTCCCTCAGAAAACTTCCATGTAATGAAAAACGACATTTCATAATTTTGGGTAAAATTAACACTGTTCAAAAGCGTCCAGTGAAAAACAAGTCCTTTATCAAAAGAAGAAGGAATATGGGGCAATAACAGTAGCAAAAAAATGTATTGTATGGTATAAAAGCCTAAACCATGATCTTAAGAAATTATGTCCAGAGACTGGCAGCTCCATTCTCATGTACATTAAAATCTTATTTGAGAACATCAACATGAATTGCAACTATAGAGGTCTAATTAGAACTGTATCCACTACAAACAGGACCAAGGACAAATGTTTCTAAGGTTCACTGTGCTTATCACTCTATCATTTGCAACAAAAATGTCACTGTCACAATAACAACCCCAAAAGTGCTATGTAACATAGCCATTCCATACTAAAAATAAACTCTCTACTTTACAAACTTGATACAATTATTTCTCAAAATCTGGAAACAAAATTTAACTCATACAACTGCTCTTCTTTTAAGACATTTCATTGAATTAATTTCACTTTTTTGTTTTCAAGTCACTATATCACTAAAAACATTGTTAAAGAGCTGGAAAAAAACCTAGATCAAGACTAACTATGCATACAATTTGACATTGGCAAGTATTAAAGAGCCCAAATTAATAATTAAATATAATCTTGATAGTTCCCCCAATTAGTCTTTGCAATTAACTTACCTATACTGTGGGGCTCCTGTTTTAATATCCCCTATGGTGACTTGAACATCATCTTCATCATCATCACTATCACTATCACTGTCATCCTCAGCCTCTGCCACCTTCTACGAAAGAAAAAGTTGTTGCTTAGACAAAAAGCAGTCACTTACCTTTACAGTGGAAAAACAACTGTCCAAGAAAGTTCTCCTTTTGCTAGACCTCAGGACTGAGTAGCATTAACAGTAAATTTAAGAGGCTTGTCTGCTGAAATGCTACAAGTATCCGAAATATCTGGATCAAAATAGGGAAGTATCTTAAATACTAAGCTCTGTTTCTGAAACATGACATTTCCTGAATAAGCATAGAATAGTTTCCACTATCTAATATCCTTCTTCCTTCTATCTAGCTTGTACGCGCCAGTTCTACTCTTATCTTGTTACCCAGGAAAGATCATAAAGATATGCAAGACTAGCTTCTTGCCATCCTCAATTACATATCCAGGGTAAATCAAATAAATGTTTTTTCCAGTTGCAGACAAACACCGCGCTTCAGAGAAATCTGTTCAATTCCTAACATCGGTAAACTATATAAAAGCCTTGAGATTTTTCAACAAACAGGCTGAAAACAGAAATAAGAGCACACTGCCTGCTGTTCTATCCCACAGCATTCAAGCTTGCTGGTAAACAAAAGTCATGCCAGTTCATACCAAGAGTTCAACTTGTAATCCACTGTTTTGGTTTTGTTTGGTGTTTTGGTTTGGTTTTCCCCTCCCAGACACAGCAGGGGAGAGAAAAAACAGGGTAAACACATATAATGTTCCCCCCCAGCACTCTTTCAGCTGCTGATTATTATCAGCTCAGGGCATTTCCTAAGCCAGTTATGGTTTGTCTACTTAGTAACCCCCAATGGATTTTTCTCTCAAGTACTTGCCCAGACTTCCCTTCGACTCACATAAACTCCCAGCAGCGACACTCTCTTTGGCAAGGAGTCCCATAGCACTGTCTGCTGCATTAAGATTCAACCTCTTTTATTTGTTTTCATCCTGACTCCTACAACTTTCATTTAACAGTCCCAGTTCTCATATGGAAGGGACTGTAAGAAGTCAATCCTTATTTACATAACTGTGAGAAGTCAATCCTTCTGCATATATGATTTTGTTACCCTCCATCATACCCAGCATGTGCGTGTCTTCCAGGCTGAGATCAGCCATTCCTTGTATGGCAGCTACCTCGATTATTTTTGCTGCTCTTCTACTCTCAATTTTTTTCAGTCAAAGTAAAGCCTTTACAATGTGAGCAGAACAGAACAGCACACAAAATTCAGAATGTGAATGAACCATGAATTTACAGTATAATAACACCTCCCATTTTGTTCTCCATTCATTTTCTATTACATACCAAGGTTTCACTGCTTTTTAGACTCCAGGCAAACGCCTAACCATCAATTTCATGTAACTTTCTACATATCTTGGTGCATTCCTCCTAAGTGGTAATGATCAGATCAGAGACCACTGTTTTATTTGTAAACTTGTTCTTCCTCCCCTGAACATCACTCTTCTTTTTCTGTACAGAATTTCAATAACCATTTCTTAACCAGGCAGTTCTTCAAACCAGTACTTGCTATTACTATCTTGAGTAACTTTGTAGCATCAGAAAACTTGTGATCCCACAAATTATCCCTTTTCTAAGTAACTTATAAACACATTAAACAGCACAGGTTATATACAACATTCCAGAGAATCCCCACTGGAGGTGACCTTCCTTCAATGAAAATGGAACCTTTACTACTACCCTCTGTTTTTTATCTTTTACACATCAATTATCCATGTGGGACTTATCCTATAGCTGCTTAGTTTTCTTACAATCCTTTGGTGAGAAACTTCTTCAAAAACTTTGTGGGATCCAAGTGAACTTTATCAGCCAGTTCACCCTTATTCATGTACTCGTTGGATCCTTCAGCAAGAGGCTGAACGTACAGAAGCTGAGTTAACTCTTCCCAGGCAGGATGCAGTTGGCCAAGCAGAGCTGAGCTCTAGCCCTTACGTATTACACCATCTATTAACTTGCTTGGTATGTAAATTAGACAAAAATAAGCAGCTGCACAGAAGGTAAGATGCTGGAGTGCAGTTCATCCTTTCTATACAACATTAATATAATTTACATAACAATTAAGAGTCTAATGAAGGGGCAGGGAAGTCTAGATCAGTATAGATATTCTGTAAATTAAAGCTGAAGACAGAAGACTCTTTCAAAGCCCCACTGCTGAAAGGAGAAGTTCACCAATCTCACACACCAGGCAACCCACAGAGTAGAGAGCAATTACAAACGCATTGAACAGAACATAAAATATTGTCTGGAGCGTGTACCTTTTCAACCAAAACCAACTTCACTGATAAACAATGATTTCTTAGCTCCCTCCTCACAGAAATATTCACCTTTTCTTATTCAACCAACTTGAACACCACCCATTTTTCTAGGTTGCTGTTGACCCTTCATGTGCCCCTTTTACTATGAAGTCCTCAATTTTATGGAGATGTTTTAATGATATCCTAACAAGGCTAGGCTTTATATAGGTGGAAAATACAAAGATCTGCACGTACAAGGAAACTGCACCAATGAGGATTTTCAGAAATATTTTTACATCAGCAAATCCAAAAAAGTATACTATTGTCTCCTTGTGGCTAATGCATTAAATCTACTGCCCACTTAGTATTAGCAGTAGTACAAAAAGCCTTTGGTGCACTTAAAATAAAGAGCTTTTCAGTTTAAACAACTGAAGTAAGTTTTTTTAAAGTTTTTATAAGGTTTTTTTTCCCCATCTTTAAATAAGTTGTAATATTTTGCATAAATAATTAAGACTTACTGAAAAAAATACACTTTTAAGAGAGGTCAGTCCTTAGAACTCACACAAATATTATGATAATGGCTTCTGAATCACTTAAGAGAATTCTTGCAAGGTGTTAGCTAAAAAATCCCCATAAAGTAAAACTACAATTTTTTCACAGAACAGATTTAAACTGTTCCCATTCACAGTAAACTGAGTCCTTTCATCAACATTGCAACTGTACATTTCATTTCCTGGTGCTTTCCTTCATCATACTAACACTGAAGTTATAAGTTGTTCTGTACGTTGACGAATACTACCTGAGAAGTCTGTTATCTTGCCTCTGAAAGGCAGCGAGGAAAAATAGAGTATCATTTCGAAAAAGATGTCTTTGACCATCTTTCCCCCCTCAAAAAATAGAAGTATTATTCATTTATTTTCTGTGTTAGATTTTAAAAACAGGACTGCAGCTGGAAATTGGATTTCCTAATTTAGTAATTTCTAAAGAGTTTCTCCAGAGAGCGTCAAACACCTTTCAGAAAACGAAAATCAAAGGCATACACTTAAGCATCAATTCATTTAATTATAAGTCCTAGCCAAATTATGAATACCCCATAAATCAAAACAAATTAAAGCAGTATTTCAAAAACACATTTAAAACTACCGTTTTCACAACGCCATTTTCTGCAGCTTCCTCTTCACTTCCAGGTGGGGGTGGAGCACTTGAACAAAAATAAACAAGAAAAGATGAAACTAGGTATTTATGCCCATATTTCACACACATAGCAGCTAATGATGAAAAAAGCCTTGCATCATCATTACAGAGAAAAGCCAAAGCTCCAGCTATCTTCTGCATTATTACAAAAAATAATTTATTTTTAAAAAAATCTAGCTAAATATAAATTTATATCAGCAGGATAATATTTAGCTCTCATAAATCATACTAATTGAATGTTTGTAAAATAGTTGGAATTAATACGGCACTACACCTGGATCCTCTTGAGAGTGAAATAATTCATTATAACATGAAGTGAGAATAAAAGCTTTCCCGTTTTCCCCCTGCAGACTGACACTTTTCAAAGACATGATGGAAAAAAAAACCACCCCCATTTAAATAGCCATAGTTAACGTTGCAATGAATCAAAATTCTCACATCTACATTGTGAAATGTTCTTCCGCCATATGGTACAGCTAAAATTCAATGGTGAATTCAATTATATTTTAACTGTAGATTGAAAACTGTAAAACTTTTAAAACTACTGGTCCCTGTAAAAGGACCAGCACTGTCAAATCCATGCAAATGAGCTGTCTCACTGGGCTTACCTACTGCTGTTCCTTACACAGCAATATTTTAATTTCCATAGTTCCATTAACTGTTAGGATATTGCACCACAAATAGCACAGTAAGCAGGGAACCATTTAGAAGCAATACTCTACCACTGGAACGTATTTCTGAAATGGAGTGAGCAACTGCCAATTTTTATTGAATAGAATGACTATGATCCCATCTCCTGTTGGCAAAATACCCACTCATGACCGTTGCACCAAAACCCCACACAGCCCAGGTATGGCCCGAGGATACAAGCTTGACCATTTCCCTTCATCACCCAGTAAAATGACAAAATAGCTACAGAACCTGAATAAAACCTCACTATTTTTATATATACAAACAATGCCAAAAATAAGAGGCCAGAGACCAAAACTTTTAACAGGTAAACTGTCCTCACAATTCCAGAGTTTCAAACACAACTCGTAAGCAGCATACGCTACCCTTTGTTATTCTATCCATAGCTATGTTTTGAGGTAGACAAATGCCAACCTAGACACTGTTGATCAGAAACTGGAGTGAAACACCATGATTTCTAAAGATCATTTTGACTGCCATGCAAATAATTTTCATAAACAACAGTAATACCGCCTAAAGGTGCCAGGTCAAGAAAATGTAACTGAACACAAGGCATCAATTGATATGGAACAGCTTCCAAAGAAGGAGGTAATATATAATTAGAATGCTTTGTCCTGAGAAAGAGATGATTCAAGACAAATGCAACAGGGGTCTAGACATGGATGTGACATGGGAAAGATGACAGGAAACAACTCCATTTCTTCTACTATAAGAACTAATGGGAATCAAATAATTGCATCTAGTAGCTGCTTCAAAACTATATCATATGTAGGCAAGTGGTGGAGGTCATTACTGCTGTATCACACTGTGCCTGTCAAAAGCTGACGTCAGTTCAGAAAAGCAACTGAACAAGCTTACGGACAAGTCGTCCACCAAGGGTAACTAAGTTGAAGCTCTTACTGAAAAAATCTCTGTTGACTGGAAGCATTTATAGAAAATAACAATGCACGTTTTCTTGCATTGGCTTCCTCTTTATTTGTTTAATTTATCTTGACAAGCAACAATTTCCACAGTTTACCAACTGTAAGACTTCTTTCACTCAGTATGAGAGAATGATTCCCACTTCCAGTCGGTCCTTGCTGCTGACCTCCATCAACTTAGCTAGACTTCCAAAGGAGCATCTTTCCCTCCTACAGCTCCTTATAACGAAGCAGGCTCCCCCAAATACTTCCAAAGCTTTTTCTAACTTTCTTTCATATACTCTCTTATTCATAAAAAATCCAACCCCAAAACCCTAAGCAGATGTGCTATGTGACCTGCACATCAAAGTAGCTGGTAATCTTCCACTTCTTCCTTGTATTCCTCTCTTTATAACTACATTGTAAACTCTTTGGGAGACAGACTATCGTTTAATTTCTGAATTATCTAGAACAAATGAAGTCCTGATCCACCGCTAAGACTGCAAAGTTCAATGATTACAGAAATAAAAGACCTGTTGGCATTTTGTCAGGGGCTATTGCTATCCATACAGTTAAAACTTGTAACTTTAATACCTAAGTGCCTCAATTTCAAAGGTAAAACCATTTCACAGAAAAGCCTAGTCATTCTGGCAGACCAAACATACTATCTTAAGGGGATTTTCAAAGACACCAGAGCGTGTTCAGGTGCTATGGCCTTTCAAACAGCTGGAAAGAATGTAATGAGTATAATTTTTGTGCAGCCACACTACAGGTCTCCCAGCTGTCAAGGCACTCACCTAGCTTTTTCTTCCTCTGGCCTCTCGGCTTCATTTTCATCTACCACAAGAGAAAAGAAACACAGTAGTTAAGAATAAAGTCCCCTGGATACCAACCGGGACAGATATCTTGCCATGCAGATTATTAGGCAACTCTTCAGTTTATGATTGAGACATTTTCATAACATTTCAGTTGTGAAATCAGCCGAGTAGACCCCCCGAGCCCTCACAGCGCTCTGTACTGACAGATCCACCACAGGGGCTGGGTCCAGTTCACAGGTTTTGGTATGATTTGAACGTATAAAGAAAGTCCCTGAAGTTGTAAAGAAAGTTTATGCATCGGAGGTTAAGGCTGCTTGAGTACTTCAAGGCCGGGAGCCCGGGTGAGGGCCTCCTGTGGGGCAGGAGCGCCATGTGGGGCCTCAGGGGGGCCGGCAGCGCCTCACCGACCGGCGGCCGGGTCAGGGATCCCGCGGGAAGGGGGCCGCGGACAGCCCCGGGCCGGCACCGGCGGAGGGCTGGTCGGGAGGAGGGGACTCGGCAGCCGCGAGGGTGGCGGGCTGAGGCGGGGGGAACCCTTTTAAACGGCGGCCGGGCCAGCCCCGGCTCAGCGGGCAGGTGCGGGCCGCACTCCGGCCTGGCGAGGCGGCGCACGCCGCGGCCTACCCACCCCCTCGCACGCCGCCGCC